TAGAAAGGAGTGAATATAAAATCAGCTAGAGATATAATCTACAATCTGTTTAAGAAAAATACATGCACAGATAAAAGACTGAAAGGAAATCTGCCAAAATAGCAACAGTGGTTAGCTTAGGGAGGTGGGATTATTAGGACTATTCCTTCCTCCCCTTTTCTACATCTCTCTTCCTTTTTCTCCTCTCCACACTTTTTAAATTTTCCACTTTAAGCATATGTTAATTTTGTAAGCAGAAAAAATAAAGTTTGAAAATACGTTACTGTCATGAAATATTCATGTGACTGTTTCTTCACTAAGTATTTAAAATACAAAATTTGCCTCAATATTCATTCTTTTTTTTCTTGCTTCTTTATACATTGCAGTTGAAATTCCATCAGACCACCTTTGATCTGCAGAATTTATTAATAATGCACCCCAAAGGATCATTTTCTCTGTTAAACATTTTATGAATTCCTGCTCAAAAAGAATACACAAAGTAGGATAATCTTTTCATTTGATCGGTGAGATGAGACTGGTGATAATTTGGGGGATTAGCCAGCTTTTTCCTCCCCTCTCTACATGTATTATGCATCACTCAAGAAATTGCCTAGAAACAGGGAATAGCCCTTTCCGAGTATATGGTTTAAACGTTCATTTGAACAAAGCATTAGTGTTTCTGAGGTTTAAGTATTGTGTTTTACTTTCATATAAAAATGATAAGCACTTTTAGTATCAGGGGCTTTCACTCAAGTCCCAGATCATTTGCTCTTTGCATATGAGTTGGACACAGCAGTGCAATGCTGGGCTTAGGAAGTAACATGTATATTTTGCAGACCTTAGCTGGGAGAAAGCCAGATGAAGGTGCTTGAGGGTGTTAAGTTACATTTAATTTATTCTCCTTCATGTTGTGACATTGCCAGGGAATCCCAGCCCCATTGAAACAGGAATTTGCCAGGTGAAAGCCCTGCTTCTTAGTGTACTCTCTTTCCTACCTCACTGAGTCAATAACTACAATAAGGAAAAACCCAAACATTTGCTAAACTATGTGAAGAAAGGAAGACCAGCCACCATCCTTGTTCTCACATTGTTGTGGAAGCATCTTCGATGGCCTCTTTTCCTGGCAAGATGCAACAGGCAAAACAGCCAGTGTGAGGAATGAGGGACAGGGAAGGG